GAAGGAGAAAAATCCTAAATTTTTAAGTGATTCCCAAAAGGCTGTATATAAAAAAAAAAAGAAATTGCAGCTTGAGGTTTCTAGTTCAGTCAGAAATCGCCATGGAAGAGGATCCTGGCACTCGAAGATTTGTCACAAAATCTTAAGTGTTATATTGCGAGTAAACAGATTATTGATTTATTTTTGTGTATTTCATTTATCCTTATTGATTAACGCTTGGGTTTTCTGCTAGGTTACTTGTTAAATACTGTTTTATAGTTTATCTTACTTAAAGTGGTTCGCTTTTTAATAACCTTTCCTTTAAAAACAAGATTTGACAACAATGCACAGCCCAATTCCCAATTGTGCATGCTCTGCGACTAGAGCGCTCCGTAGTTTGAACTTACACTAGCTTGTCCAGCGATGGGTAACAAAATTACGAAGAAAAGGATAAAAAAATAAGTTTTCACAACGGAATTTGAAGAAATAAATTATTAATACATATTTCTAAAGGTCGAAGGAAAAATAATACACTCGCACTCGTTCTCGTGTCACTATCTCCATAAGTTAACGAAATGGTTAATTCATTTCACAGAAACTGTAAATGTTTTTCGCTTTCCCCAATAAAAACAACTTAATCGTATGGTAATTAGGAAATCGTGTTTGGCGGTGTCAGTCCCATTATCAGGAAATTGTTTAAAATGTAATCGGATCGTTTTTCAGTGTTTTGACTGTTAATGTTTCCGTAATAGTCCAATGAAATGGGCCTTTACATCGCAATTTTGGCCAACTTGCCTGAATTTTTTATATAAATTGGTATGGGGTAACATAATAACAATAAGTGAGAGTAATGTATTTTTCAACCCCCAACCAGGGGTGAAAAAAGATAAAATAGAGGTTTTTTTTAAGGTAACTCAAAAGGGGAAAGAGCTAGAAAAAAATATCTTCAATAAAAGTTGTAGAGCATACAATTCTACATAAAAATGGTCCATTAACTTTTTCTTGTATGTAAGTATTCTTTTCAGAGAAATAGAGATATTTTTTTATTTTTAATAAAAAAGTTATAACAATTTCACAAAGCGAAAGTGATTTTTTTATCTTTGTAGTAAAACAAGCAACTTTTCATTACCTATTTTAAATAATAATCATTCAAATGGCATAGAAAACAACTGTTTTAGTGAAATCATAAAAATTTACGATAAAAAAAATGAAATAATTATAACTTTTTTATTAAAAATTAAAAAATATATCTATTTCTCTGAAAAGAATACTTACATTTTTTAGAGTAGATTTTTTAAATTTGTGAAATCATCCCTTAACTTCTAGCCACCCTAACTCTGTTAATTTTAATAGTACAAGAAAAAGTCAATGGACCATTTTTATGTAGAATTTTATGCTCTACAACTTTTTTAAGAATTTTTTTTCTCTAGCTCTTACTCCTTTTGAGTTATCTTAAACATTATCTTATCTTATCTTATCTTATCTTATCTTATCTTATCTTAACATAAATTAAAAAAACACGAAAATACTCAAGAGAGAAGTACCATTATTTATTATTTTACACATACATTTTACGTTTTTATAGAACAAATCTGTTTATAACCTCAAATAATATCCTAATACAAATTTTAAAATCAAAAAGTAGCTATGAATGTAAAATAAAAGTCAGAATTGAAATTTTTATTTTAAAATCAATAGCCTATTGTTAACGAAGGCCCGTATGAAAAAATTGTATGTGAAGAACTGATATTATTTTGATCTCATATATTTGTGCTCGAATTTTTTGTATCAAGTACCGGAACTGTATACCTCAAACTAACTTATATAAAAAATTCAGGCAAGTTGACCAAATTGCGATTTGAAGTCCCATTTAATTGGCCTAGTAAAACTTACTGGCAACACCGAATAATAGTGGTGGTGGATTTTTCTGTTCTTCTTTTGGAAATATTTTGTCGCACTTACACAAATATGTATTTTGAAGCCGATAAATTATGAACTATTTAGTTTACAACTATTTACTTTTGACCTTTCCTAAATTAAAAACAGACCTTGTCTTAGGTTTTTTGATATATGCACGTATGTTGCAATAAAAAGAAATAAATTTATTTATAAACTACAGCGGTTACGGGATGGGTCAATGAATGTTAACAGTCGTCGAATAACGTGTGGCTTTTCCTACAGAATAATTAAAGTTCTCATTTTATGTTTTTACAGCGAATTCGGTGTCAGTGAACACTAACAATAGAAAAATCCTACTATTAAAGTGTAGCAGAATAAAACATTTATTGATATCTTCGTGTGAGTAAACATAATGTCTTACCAACGACAATTGCTGTGTCGAATATTAGAACTAATCATTAGAAATTTCTTTTACTAAGTTTCGAATTTTATCTTTAATTTTACGGGAAAATATTTCTTGTGCCTGATAAACTATTTCTTTTTTTTTTCGTGTTATAGTTTTTATCTCTGTAATGTTTTCGCACTTAGAACGAGCTCTAAATTTAAAATTTAATTTCATGCAAACTGTAAGGTGCCCCAGCTTAAATGTTTACTTGAATCGCACTATAGTTGCATCGTTTCTCAACAATCTGTTTTTTTATTCACGTCATTATCTCTGTTATTAACTGAGATACGCAATACAATTAAAGAGCACCTTTTGTGTATACCCATGCCAGAATTCCTGTCATTATATTCATATTTCATGCGAGATACAGGCACCTAGCGATTTGTTGTTATTTTACGCTACGAAATATTGCTCACAAATAAGTTAATATCGGCATACTCTTCTCAAAAAGTGAAGATTTTTTAAAGATAATTGTTGCATTCTGAGTCAGTGGTTTCCTGAAACAGGTGCGTTATATTACTCTATACAAGAAACTTTTTAGTGAAATGAGATGTAGGGTTTTATGAAATCAAATTAACATGTCTCATTTACAAAGAATTAGTTGGTATCAAGATGACTAACTGATGCCTTTCCAATGGAAACTACTTAAATTGATGACTCCAATAGAAACGCAGTGAGGGGTCGACACAGTAACCGTTGTATTCACGTTTAATTCTTTGAACAGGGATTTGTACTTAGTTTTACATTTCCTTAATTGTAGGTAACTTATATATAAGTAAAGTACCACCTTCTGTTCTGTGCGAAGCTTGAGCTCTGTTTATTAATTTTAGGTAATTGCAAACAACTTAATTGAAGTAAAGTAGTATTCACGTATGTTGAGGTGAAAGGTGGTGATTTACAGGATGATGTGAAGTTGGGCGTGAATATTGATGTCAAATTAAAAATAATTTATAGCCTTATTGATCCATTTTTGTTTTGCTATGATTATGAGATTCATATGGAAAAAATATGAGGGAATGTAGACGTTAGAAAGTATTTTTTAGGCGTAGGTGCAGCTGCTTTAAATAATATAGACTTGTAACAGACCAATACAAGTGGTGAATGTTAAAATTGTTTTCAGTCCTTTCTGTGCAACATTCAGTTACGTCAGTGATATATAATCTTTTAGAAAATGAACTCAACTTGGAACTTAGATAGACGTTTTTGTAATCGATGTTAGATTAGATCAGTTAATCTAAAAACTAAAAAGTAAGTGGCGTAATCAACAGAAAAAAATTCAAATCTCTTTAGTCAAACGAATAGATGAAGCAATTGGTAATTTTGATAATTACATTATTTTCAACAAATCGACAGTAAAAGGCATGAACAAGCAAACGGTTCGTGACGAATTAATTTTTGAGCATCACGAAGATCCGTATCTTATACTTTTTATACACCTAGAGAGTTTTTTTCGCTATTATTTGTGACAGTATACTTTCATAGTTCATTTTAGAATGGGACATACATCTTTCCTTAAAGCTTGTTTCAATCACCTCATTCTTTGGATGATTGATCAGTCTTTTGATTAATAAGATTATCTTCGTCATTCATTCCTACTCTAGGAAGGTTTTGAGTTGAGCTTCTACATAGTGAATGCATAACGTATGTAAGGGGTGTCCCAAAATTCACGGAAGAAGTAAAAAAAAATAAATACGTTTTTTTATAATCCATGAATCATATTTCATACATACATAACATAATTTTAGCGATTCTTGGTTACTGTCATCATGCCTCGAAAAGAGCACATCCAAAAACCGTAGTGTGCCAATTTTCAAAATTAAAATCGAAGCAGGTTCTGAAATAATCTAATCCAATACTCACTGTGAGCCACCTGGTATTTTGTGGGCAATGCACAAAGAACATTTTACTGTTTTTTATTTGTACAAGTTAAAGTCTTATTTCTGAACATATTTTCATAACGAAACAATTTTTCAGGTTATCAGGTTTCAGTAGGTATGTAACTTTGTTGCTAATTTTGTATTAGGTACATGACATACATACATACAGTTGCTATGAATAGATATTGATTAAAGTTACCTGGAAGGTAGGCAAATTCTTTTACATCTTCCATCGTTTTAGCTCAGCGTATATGCTGTGGTTTTAGTTTCATTAATCGGAATGGGTCGTTTCAGACCTAGAAGGTAGGCAAAATGTCGTACATCTTCCATTGTTTTAGTTTCATTAACTTGGGACTCCTAAAGATGTTTGAGAAATATGAAGTCATTGGGTGAAATTTGATAAGCCTTATATAAAATTTTTGTTATATTTCGGTCGTATGTATGGATTTACAAAAAAGTTTCGTCAAAGCAAAAGACTTTATGCAATGATGACTGTAATATATCCCTTCTGTTTTTTTTTTTAATTCATTGGAAAGTCACTGAAAGTGTTCTGTTCTGGTATTAATACCTTTGGAAAACTACCAAGGCAAATTGCTGGTTATCTTGAGTTACCAATTAAATCAGAGAATCTGTTAAAAACAGCGTGAATGCATCATGAAATTTGGGGTCATTTTAGTTGTCAATAATACTCCGTTTAAATTTTTGTTGTTGTATTCTATCTCCAGATTTTAAACTGCAACTAATAAATACATCGAATCTTTCTTATATAAATAAAAAATAAGATTACTACTTCATATTGATTAACTCGTAGCTTGTTTCAAATAAGCGATCAAATCCTTCCTTTCATTAGCTTTCTTCAGACCGGGGAACACCATTTTCGTCCCCGGAATGTACTTCTTGGGATCTTGCAGGTAAATGTCCAAAGTGGACTCGTCCCAAGTTATACCTTTGCTTTTGTTGGCTTCCGAGTAACTAAATCCAGCAGCTTGGCCGGTTTTCCTGCCGAAAAGTCCGTTCAAGTTAGGGCCGTTCTTGTGCTTGCCGCCTTTTTCTACCGTGTGACACTGGGCACAGGACCTCTCGAATATTTTCTTACCATTTCCTGCGTCTCCCATAGCTGATGGTCACAAAAATTTAGATATTTGTTACTTAATGACAGTGACAGTTATGGCATTTTCGACTTATAGTCCAGTCACTGAATCATTTTGGCTCCCAATTTTTCGGATGGAATGGATTGACGTAAAATTTGAACTGTAGCTAGGGAATGGCCCAAGAAACAAATGTTATATAGTGCCGATGTGTGCTTTTACTCTAGGGGTGGATGCCACCCCTTCTGGAGGGTGGGATTTTTTTATTAAAAATATATTTATAAGCAATTTTTCGCGAATATCTCAAAAACTACAAGTTTTATCAAAAAAATTATCATAAGCAAAAATGAAGGTACTTCAATAGCAAAGAGATTGCTTTTTTTCATTCTTGTAGATGGTATAGAACCCGAGTTATGACTCCCAGAAGTTGAGGTCAATTTCGAAGATAGTTATAATGTAGTTCAACGTCCTGTAGCGGAAAAATTAAAGGTTTTTTGAGGAAAACTTATATAACACCTATTAAAGTTCTTGAAAAGACCTTTAAATTGAGTGATGGTAGAAGTCGTTAGCATGAAAACTAATGAAGTTATAATCAAAATAAAATGATCTTGATGTTTGAGAAAAAAAATCGGTATTAAAATTAATGACTGGACGGAAAAAAAATTAAACGTATTCCTTCTGCAATTTATTTATTTATGTAGATTCTGAACGATTTTAGAAACCTAAATTTAAAAAATTTTTAATTTTTGAATAAAATTAATTTTTTTTTAAATCGCCTTTTTTAAAAATATTTCAAAAACTAACAAAGTTATAAAAAAATGATACAATAAGAAATTGTAGGTTTTTCCTTACTGAACAATTTACTTTTTAAAATTTTATGACCGTTAGAAGCTCAAAACTAAGCTCCAAGACTGCCTTTCCTGAGCCCTTTTAGCTTACAAATCTAAAAAACGAAGGGCTCAAAAAAACTGCAAATCACAAAAATTAAAGTGTTTTAAATTCCCTACGAAATGGTTTTTTGAGTAAATTTATAACTTTAAAATTACAAAAGTTATGGTAAAAAAATTAATCGCATTGTTTCGGTAAAATTTCCGTAGCAGGTAAATTACCATCGTCTTTGTGTATTTTGGAGAACTGATTTGAGTAAGTATTTTAATAATATACATACAGAAACGTATCCGATATTAATTTAATAAAAAAATATTAAGAATAAATTCAATAAAATTAAAAAAAAATAATTATATCATCATACTCGCATATAATTTTTAGGAAATTTTTCTATAAAGGGTAGGATTTTTTATGAGGGGTAGGTCTTCCATAAGGGTTTTTTTGGGTGACTGATAAGTTACAATATATCATGTCATTTGAAAACCAATAAAAAGTTTATAATTTTTAATGGTTACAACTTTGTTATGAGTCGTAAGCTTTCTAATGAATAACCAGAGAAATGCAATACATTGAGAATGCACCAAAAGAATATTTTAAACTGTTAAAACCTTTTTTTTATTTTTTTGGCCATGGAAGGGTAGTTTTTAAGGATTTTTAAGGGTTGAAAAGTAATTAAATTTCATAAATTATATTAAAAAACATGAAAGGAACTTTATCCAATATATTTGAACATGAATTGAATCTTTAAAATACGTAAATCTGCGATTTCCGAATTTTTTCGCACAAGGGTAGTTTTCACCCCCAAATAGAAAAAAGCACACATCTAGACAATATAACTTTTGAAGTGGGGGGTCAGATGAGCTTGTATGCAAATTTTCAGGAAAATCGATAAGTTCCGAAAAAATTGGGAGCTTTTACCTTATTTTCGCCTGGACTATTTGAACTATTATTAAAATTTATTGGAGCAATGGAATAGTGTTTAAAACAACGTTTTCTTCTGATCATGCCATAGATTTAGTTAAATTAAAGCACTTGTTTTTCATCGAAGATATTAAACTCATTTAATTTATTCCTCTTCAACAATTCCGTGTTAAAATTGTATTTGTTGTTTGAGTGTTATGTATCTGCCTTGACCTTATTCTATCCGACGCGTTATTTTTTAGGAATATGATCTCGACAGTGCAGTGGTTAGAACATGGGGAAAATGAACGGGCAAATAGTAAAAAATAAATTTTGTTTATTTCTATATAGTTTTTACAGGAAGCCACAATACAGAACTATCACATTGGTAGGGCCGAAAAGGTGTTACGATCTATCACTTATTTACAATTAAACTCTATTATTCCATACACATTGTTTACAAAATTAACACGAAGACCTAAGATCTAGTAAAGCCACGTTACGCTACTATAAGGAAACCAATATTTACATTGTAATATAAAAATTAGTAACATTATTTCATACTGCAATTTCCACTTATGTTCTTATTAAGGTTAATTTTTTTGTATGCGTTCTTCCCGGCTCCTAAACGCAGTCGCAAGCGCAACGTTTCACCCTTTTCTGGTCCTTCTTCAGGACCGCGTCGACTGAGCGGACGGATCTAGGCTGAACATCTGAAATATGAGTTGTATTTAAAAAAAAAATAATTTTACTCGAGGAAACTTGATAAAATTGAAATAAGCTACACATGAACGTAGCGAATGAACAATTTTAATCCTCTGATAACTTACAGTGGGGTCTGGGCTCTTCCGAGGCTACCGCTTGTGGCTCTTGATCTTGTTCCTGCTCTTGCTCCTGATCCTGGGTCATCATCTGTACCGGGATGTGTACGGGGATTCCCCTAGCATAGGCTTGTCTGCCGTTCATTTCAGCAGCATTCTGCCTTTGTTCTTGAACATAACGTACTTCTTGAGAATTCTCATCTGATTCCGGTTCAGAAACCGCCACAATAACATCGCGATTGGGCAATCTGTTGAGCTGAGTGAGAACCTCTTCGGGAATCGGGAACCTCTGCTCTACCATAGGCTGAGGTACCTGGAAACGGTGCTGGGGACGTGGTTCTACCACGGTGTGCAGTTCTTGAAGCTGAGGTTGCTGCTGCTGCGGCTGCTGTTGCTGCTGCTGCTGCTGTTGTTGCTGTTGTTGCTGTTCCTCTCTAGCCTTCTCGGTCTCCATGATCTTCTGCGCGATGATTTGCTGCACGATATGGTGTAGGATGGGATTTGGTGGGAAGTCGCTCTGCTGGGGTTGTGGCTGTGGCTGGGCTTGGATTTGTACTTGTGGTTGCATCATGGGTGGCATTGGTGGCCTCATGGTTTCCATGGGGTGCATTTGGTTCATGGGAGGGCGCATGGGGAAAGGCTGGGGTTCTTGTTGTTGCATGACGGGTTGCATCTGTTGGGGCATGTGGGTTTGGAAGGGCGTGTGTGGAATGGGGATCATCACTGGTTGGATCATGATGGTGTCTTCTTCTTCTTCCTCGGGCTGAGGTGGTGGTGGGGGTTGGGCCCTACGCGCAGAAAATAAATTAGTAAATGGAGAACTACTAATACAAGTGATGTCAAGCGTAGCATGTGGTGTGACAGAGTCCAAAGTACTGACTGTTGTTTCGTGCTAATGTAAATGCTATATTGTTACTTATGACGTAATTTCCTTTTATTAAATTTATTAAAATTGTTTAAAATTGGACAAGCAAATTGACAATTTAGGTTAATGATAAGTCATTTTTGTTTTTCACCAAGTTTCGTCAAAATTAAATTATTTTTGCGGAAATGAGAAATAAAAAACGAACAATCAGAAAAAAACTGTTCTCTAATAAAAGTTTATTAGAAAAAAGATTGATAATTGTTGATGTCATTAGTCGTTTCTGTCAAATCCCAAAGATAATACTTTCGATAGAAATGTCATCCCATTTGTATCCTCACAATAGAACCATACTATCGAGTTTGAGACACCCACTACATGTATCATCTTTAAATACTATTTATCTTCTAATACTCTCACTCACTTTTGGATGTGTCCACTTTCACAGATGATGACCATGCGTTCTCCGCTCAACCTCTCCAAACGAGGATCGGTGGTCAGATTAACTCCGAACGGCAACCTGATGGTCTTAGGCTGATGGTCGACTACTTCTTCGGCTCGCTTCTTCTCCACGATACAGTTCATTCGCGACCTCTGGTTCTTTTCGATGAGGGCGCTGGCCAGGTCGTCGAAGTCCAACTGTAAGGGTAACTTAATGTGGATTGGGGTTCTGTCCTCTTCTTCGGTTTCGTTGGATTCGGAACTTTCAGAACTCCTGTCCGAGCTATCGGAGTCGGCGTCATTGTCGATGTTGTTGGTCTCGATCTCTTTGGTATCTCTTTGGGGTTCCTCGGCTTCCAGCGGATCTGAGTGGCGTTTTACGGGAAACGGTGCTTCCTGAAACGGAAAAAATTCTTTATTCCACCTCGAAATGAAAGATGAAAGTAATATACTTGTTGCAATATTTTTTTAAGTTCGGTCTGATTCAAGGGTCAGTCTTGTAGAGAAAGAAAAGAATTCGTGCGTCTCGCTTGTAGCATATGATCAGGCGATGCATTTTTATGGAAACTATGAATTTCGAGGTTAGTGTAATGGTTGTAGCGTTTCGTGAGATTTGTTATTTTGTAATTATTTACTTCGTGCGACATGCAATTTAAGGACAATTAAAATCGTTGTTCGCACAAACAAATCTTTCGAATTCCGATCCAACTTTCCATTTATGTAATGAATGAATGAACAAGGAATGCCACTTCAGAAAGATGTACTAGATTCTCTAAACATTGGTAGGTACTTGAAACCTTACTATATTTTGCTTTTTGTTGTAGCTATGCGTGAGAATATCGTCTAAACATAAGGAGTTAAAAACCTTGCTTGCCAAAAATTCATGAAACTTCCATTTCTCTGCCCATAACCTGACTACCAGCTGACTGCATTTGAAAATTCATTTTTTTTGCCATTCGCACCTAGAGCAGACAGTCGAACAACCAAAATATGACGCAAGTTGTCGCCGGAACTTATTTGGTTGATTAAGTTCCTTAATTAGGGAAAATTTTCAGCTCCCGACTTACATAACGCAATATTAAAACAGGTTTTTGCAAGTCAGTAGGGCAAAAAAGTCATTGCGTAAGCGAGAACTTCGTATTGCCGAGAAGTGCGACGGATATAGCTCTCCGTCCTTAACAGCTGTGACCCGCTTCTTAAGAGTTAAGAGTAAAGACCTCTCGCTTTCACCGTTGGCCTACTCATGAAGACGATTATTGCACACGTTGGTTGCATGCATGGCAACCAATTATTTCTTGAAATTACAACTACGCGAGCCACAGAGAATACCGCCAGAGGAGAACAATCAATCCTGGAGGATTAGAACAAATATTTTGTTCCAGATACTCATAAACATCAAGTATGTTTTTCGAGATAATTTAGACGCTTTACAGTTTTTGTGTAAAAACTAACCAATGTGCATGATGATAAAGGATGATAGTATCTTTAGCACAACCGTTAATAGGTTATTTACATACCTGTGTCTAAAAATGACAAGTAATAACGACAACCGTAGTTCCAATCGCAAAATATCAAATAGCCTGCATTTACAGATCAAAAAAGAGCCAGGAGATGGCGCTACGCGCTTCTGGGTCGCGAGACTTAACTTCTGGTTGTATGTTTGTTATTGAGGCGTTTTTTATGATCGTCGAAGATGTTCCAAGCGAGAGATTAACACAGTTTTAGCTTAACATTTGCAGTTCCCTGCATCTGGGTCAATGACGCATCCAGTGGATTTATAGCCGAGGTTTCGAAATGCCGCGATCTTGTTTGCATTTTTCTTTACTTGGTACGTTTCACAACATCGTTTTGGTGTTAAACCGAGAGTTTGTTATAGGAGAAATATTAAACACAACAACGGCGATAATGAAATGCAATCTATAAAATAAATAATAATAAATATAAAAATAAACAGGCAAGGTTGAAATAAAAAATGTGATTGCGTATGCAACCTTCAAAAATACGAGGCGGTAGTTGATTAGAACTAATCAAGTCAGTGGCGTAACAAGGGGTGATTAGAATGTTTTCGCCTTCCGCTAATTTATAAATCCTCTAGATGACTTTGTTGTGCAAAAAAAATGCTTTTACGTCAACAATCGCGTGTGCGGGCAATTAAAAATAGATAAATTCGCGTATTTCAACAACGAATGCACAATGCAACAATGAAATTCGCTGGATATAGATAATGATATCAACATAATGGAGATACATTGCTGAGGTGTTTTCTGGTATTCTGCCATCGTAAAAATAAAAACGTATGTTATATCAGACCATAACATAAATATTAGTGAACGGGAAACGTTGATACTTGAATAACGCAATTCAAAACTGAAAAGGAAACATGACAAAGTTGCAATTGAACGAGTTGTATTATAAAGTTGTATTATAAATGTTTGTTATATAATTAACGATTTCATTGCGTTTTTTAGTTGCCAGGTTATCGACCTCTGTATATAGTTTCGAACGTGAGTTTCCGACAAATAATTATTCGTCATGGTTTTTTAAATATCTGATTGCACCAGATATCTGCAATAAATTGTGAAAATTGCTGGTATAGCTGCAATTACGCCCAGTGGCGTTCGGGATAAGACCCCGTTATCCGGGCGGGGTATATTTATGAGCCCTTTCTGAGTAGGCAGTTCTCTTGGTGTCGGGTTTTGAGGACGAGTTATACATAGTGATATACAAATACGAAGAGACCACTGAAATTATGTCAGTATACTAACAGCAAAGTCAAAAAACATTAGTTTTGATCTTAACCATTCAATGTAAAGCAATGTCGAGAATTGAAAGGAATTTGAGGAATGCTTAAAGACGAAAATGTCCGCGAAGATGACAGAATTAAGTAATAAATACAATTTTTATGTTACATAGTTCATTATACATATTAATTAAATATAAATAATGAAATTTAAAAGACAAACGCCGTTCGTGAAAGTAACAAATTTGAGGGAGTTATTGTTTCCAAATACGTAAATCTGTTTTAGATAACTTAAAATATGTTATTTACTAATAATAATAATTCGTTCAGCACCAACTGATTAGCTTTAAACAACTTCTTTTATACATATTATTATAAATGAGTTCCTATAAGTTTACTAACATTTAAATTTTATATTTTTTTTTTATTACCTTCAGTACAACTTACATAATAAAAGTGTAGATCCCTAGATCTGGACGAGGTCCGGAACATTTTCAAATTTGCAAAAATGTTTAAAAAATACCTATTTTATCTGAGTTTTTTACTTATCTTAGAACCTATGCATTTTTGAAGAATGTTGAAGAGAAAAAAAAGTATTAGAATTGAATTTTGCACAATATACTGTAAGTTCAAAATGTTTAAATTTATTACCGATGTTACAAAATAGCAATAATTGATGAAAAAAAAAGGCAAAATAATCAAGTTTTTTGGATAATTTTTTAAAATATTTTAATTGCTCCGAGGGCATTCTAATTTTGTTTAAAAAAACTTAATAGTATAATAAAACAACACACCAAATTTCATTAAAATTGGTTCGATAGTTTTTGAAGAAAATTTTGAAAAAAAATTTTCGAATTTTCAAAATGTTGCACAGCCTCAAATAAAGGATGTAGATACTTGTCACTTTTCGCGCGTGCGAGCGACAGCTTTTCCGCTAATTTATCTATGTTGCCGACAACTTATGGACATGAAAATTTTTTCCAACTTAGAACTCAGATAAACGGAGCCACTGGATCAAAGATTATTGCTAAATTGTTTATAAATTAACGGTAAATGCCGATAAATTTTGTCCGCTTATATCTCGAGAACCAATAAACGGTATTTAACTTTTTTTAAAAAGAAGCGTCTTTCCGAGTACCTACCTACCTTAAAATTGTAATCTTTCAATAAAACTAAAGTGGAAATTGATAAATGTAATCTAATTGTTTAAAAATAAAAAGAGAATGTTAGCTTTAAAAATTTATTGTGGCCGTTTTAAACAACTCAAAAACCATTTGAAAGGTTGAGCCGTCTTTTCTATGTGAAAAAATTTTCAAGTATCTAGATGCTTTATTTGAGGCTGTGCAACATTTTGAAAATTCGAAACTATCGAACAGATTTTAATGAAATTTGGTGTTGTTTTATTATACTCTAAAGTTTGTTTTACCAAAATTGGAATGCCCTCGGAGCAATTAAAATATTTAAAAAAAATATCCAAAAAAACTTGATTATTTTGCCATTTTTTATCAATTATTGCTATTTTGCAACATCAATAACAAATTTAAACATTTTTAACTTGCAGTATATCGTGCAAAATTCAACTCTAAAACTTTTTTCCTCTTCAATATCCTTCCAAAATGCGTAGGTTCCAAGATATAAGTAAAAAACTCAGATAGAATAGGAATTTTTTAAAATTTTTTAAACATTTTTACAATTTTGAAAATGTTCCGGACCTCACCCAGATCAGAACTTTGAGCTGGTTTTATTCAAGGTGGCAGATCAAAGTGCTGTTATCGAACAGCGGTTTATCAACTAGTTATACCCAGTAAGAAGTCAAACTCCTCGAACTGATATCCATATCGCCAAAGAGAATGGTATCATTGCTCAGAAACGGAAAAGGTACTAACCTGCTTTGTATGTATGTTAGACCATTATTTGCTATTCTGTCTATTCGGACAAATATTTGAACACGGAAATGAGGACCTCTATCTGCTAAAAATGCGATGAGCAACAAAGCTGACCTTAATTCATTGGCGTGACGGCATTGATTTGTAGGAGCAGAATCAGCAAAAACATTTCCCATTTTTGTTCCAAAGGAACGCAGATAATAGGAATTTTAATTAAATCTGACGCATTATTTCAACGCTTTCAACTTAGCTACGTACCTGGATGAGAGCTTCAGGTTGTGGTGGTGGCTGGAAGCGGTCTGCAGCTTCGCTCAGCAGCTCCAACTCCTGCTCCAGCTGCCTGCAGCTGGCGTTAGCCGAGACATAGGCAGAAGCTAGAATGAAGCTTCCCAGCACTACAGACACGAGGACCACCGTGACGGCTACAATTTTGGCCACCTGCACTGCGGCACTTTGAGGTTTGTGATATGCCTGAAAAAAAAAATAATAATTTAAACTTTTCCTGTTTTTATTGTATTCCAGTTCGTGTATTAAAATGACGAATATTAACTTTAACTCACAGCAGGTGTTTTAAGACAAAAGCGTTTATAATTTGTGATAAATGACGGGAATGTAGAAAATCTGTGTATTGTTAAGACGAGAGAAGACTGTTTCTAGTAACAATCGTTGGGAATCTCCAATTAAAAAAATAAGCTATGCCATTCACGAACATGTTTCTATAAGCATTCAACTCAAGCAGGAATGTGGCAATCACCAAGAAACAATAGATGTTCACATAGCATTGCCAGCCTACGTATTATATTTTTGAAATGCGTGCATAGTTAAGTTATTTAATTTCTAAATAAATTCAATTAGTCGCGCGAACAAATTAATTCTCTCTTTATTTATTAAGTAAACTCTGAATAACCTTGAAGAGGTATGTTCGGGATATAAATACAAGTTGTGTTCGAAAGTAAACAGGACTTTTCAAAAATGGGTATTTTTAGTGGGGCTATTGGCAATTACATTCGTGGGAAAGGCAGATCCTTCATTGAAATTCATGGAATTCGACAGTTGTGGCAGATTTTTTCGGAAAAATGCATTTGCCTATGCAACGAAAGCGTTTTCTGGACTATAGAAGCCATCCAAATGGCTTGTACCTAACGACATCCTAAAGGATGTAAAATAAATCGGTTTTGCCAAAAAAACTTTTTGTTCTTAATTTCGAAAGGTCCTGTAGCCCTTATAACAGTTTGAATTGTATCTGAATTTGAACACTTGACACTTTTCTTGCCTACTAATCTTCTGTAACCACAGATCTGTAACAATGAAGGTCAATGTCAACCGGTAACATGTTCATAATACTTGTTTCTGACCAGGATGTGAAGAATATTTTTTTTTTGACGAGCGGGTAAATATAATAAATGTATCTGGTCTAAAGCGACTGAAACGTCCTTCTAATCTTCTAATAGAACTCAAACGCCATAAAAGCATTCCAGTATGTGTCACTGCAGTAAAAATAACTGTGCAAGCGTTTGTTATTAAATTTAAACGATAAGTAACAGGTACCAGTCACTTGTGGGATATTTAAATAAATGTTAATCAACTAGAAATCTTTCAAGGTTGGGCAAATTTAGTTATATAAAATTCCAACTTGTGTAGGGAAGTGAATCCTACACTTATTAATTCGTATTATGAAATTACACGTCTTGTTTCCTATAGCAACCCATGGTTACATCAAATAATTATATCGTGGAAATCGGAAACCAAGTGACCTCCGTACTAGGTACCTCGTGTTCCCATTATATTTATTTTAATTACCGACTATCGCGTTACATATTATTTATAAAGCAATTGCTGGAATTTGATTTATAGATTACACTATTGCGTGGAATGTTGATAGATAGATAGATATTTTCTTTATTCACACGGAACTTTAATTGGACATAATAAAATCAGTAAAATATTTTGTATTGGAATATACGTGGAGATTTATATACAATGGAAGATATTAACACCAATCACGAGTTGGTTTAAATGCTGCTGATGTACGGTGAATGTAGACACAATGCTGCTGCCGCAGAACAAAATACAGCGAGATTTCATGATTATTTTGATTAACACATGTGATGATAATTTTTCTAGGTCAATTATGTTTGAAATAATGTTTATAAAACATCATTGCGTATTATTACTATTGTCTACAATTGATAAATAAATTATCTCACGATTGAAATATGTTCATTCTAAGGTTAAACAAAAAAAAGAGCCGGTGTCCTTATTTCTTTCACCTTGACGTTAAATAGTACTGAAGAGGTCGTTTTGGCATTTTATTTAAACAAAAAAAGGCTACTGTAAATAATCTTGTGTAACCAATCACGTAGGTCAACTAAAACTACCACCGGAAGTACCGGATAACGTTTCTGGTATTTTAAAATATTTGCATAAGGAAGATATATCTAGTTGTGTAATTTTAAACATTTTAGGTGGATTAATCTTCATTTATAAACAACTACAGTTGGGGAAATGTAAAACGACAGTCTACAGGAGTTTTATTTTGTCATAATTCATTATGACATTATGTGTCATAGTGAGCAATATTCTCGCTTTCCATTCGAAAGAAACTTAATTTTTAAACGCTCTTTCTTAACGTTGAACTACAACCTTTTGCCTGAATAACCTTTCATAGATATAAAAAGTACGCTTTCACTTAACAGTCATTCAGACTTTCTTCGTATTGGTAGTTATTGAAATGTGCAGTAGGAACTTTCGTATGGTGGACAAGAACCTCATTTTACATCAACACGACGGATAGAAGGATAAGAGAATTTTTTAACGAAATAAAAGTTTACAAGTCGGCGGAAAGCTCGTAAAAAATTAACTCTTAGTGATCGTTCTGTCTCTCCCGAATAAGAAAACTAAGGAGAAAGGTCGTCGCCATAAGCAACAATAACATTTATTCAGAACTTTGTGTTGGCCTGCATCTTTAATTACACGTAAATTTTTTTTATGAAACGGATTTGCCCATGTTCATAAGAGGATTTGAGTGACTCACCTCGTCCTTTAATGCAAATTGAATCTATGTGACAAGACCCGTAGTAAAAGCTGAATGCGTGAAAAAACGTAGTGACATTGAAAATTAATAGCACCGAGTTATTAAGTCATACGTTGTAGGAGGTGGTAATTTTTTATAACCTACATACATGCAGTCTAAAACAATGCAAGTGGGTATTCTCATATAGAAGCGATGTTTTTCTTCTGATTTGTCCTCCACTGACAATAACCAGATTATATAAATAATGGGCAAGCCATGACCATATTTTGAGATTTCAAATTCATTTAGAATGATTGCGCGATTCGTACCAGGTACGATGTTCAATAACGTAACTAATAATTAATTATTTATTTATTTAATACTTATACTGTCGGTGGTTAAACTGGATATTGTTTTATAGCGGCTTAATTTATTAATTTACATTATTTGGAACTATTGCAAAACTGTCTGCTAATAAAAAGGTTGTGTTTTGCATACCAACATTTGGTGCTACTGTTGAAGTAAAAACAGAGTCAACAGGAGTTTCTAAATAAAATATATAGTATACGATAACAAAAGAACGTGACAATAACGTAAATTATGACATAAATGACGTGTTCTTTTCAGTTTGTCGTTTCCTATTACTAAAATTATTTTAATTGCATTGTAAATTATAACTGTTTATAATCGAAAAATGTATATTTTATGCGGTTTTTTCCTCGAAAACAGTGTATATTTTCGCTTTTATTCTGAATAAAATGCTATCTGCCAATTCCTGAATACATCAGTAACGATCTACCAAATTTGATAAAAATCGCTTAAGAGAAAAGTTACGCAAAATAAATACTTGGAGAAAAATTAATTGTTACAGGAACTTTCACAGGAAAATAATGAAACCCCAGTTCACTAAAATTACTGTTAAAAGAAATGTCCGTTTGTGCTAAAGAAAGCTCTGATAACAGAACAAACAGTTACTATGCAATTTTGTGATCGAACAAAAAGGTTATTATATAGTTGTGTTTTCGCATTTACAATCTATTGTATTTTTGTTACTCTGGTGATAAACAAAACCAATATAAGTTTGACAACAATAGAGTAGAATGCAATCTGGTATTATTTTCAATACGGAACTAATTTGTTTTTGTTTATAATAAGATTCAATAACACTGTGTTACATAAACAAACAAACGATATGCCCGAATCACGTTCTGGTTAAAAAAATACTGTAAAATGTAAATAATCCAAGCCTTTCAGTACCAGCACGTAGTTAGTGGGAAATGTTTTATATTTTGACTTCCCCGCGTGATCGCAATGAGCAACTGCATTTGTGGTACCCTCTAGCTTCGTTGCCTCTTGGCGATGTGCAAGCAAAGGGGACAAGCCGATACCGATAATTAATCGCAAAATCGTCAGACGTGCATATGTGCATCGCAATGTGCAGCTAAATGGCACAAATCGTGCATTGCCATCTTCTTCGTGTCGGCAAACATCCTTTCACTTGCAGAATTAAAATTCGTATTCAACGATTGGTTGCCAATAGGCCAGCTTTCTAAAGTTGTATTCTCGAACAATAAGTTTCATAAACTGAATTTCTAAGTAGATTTTAATTATTTATTGTATTTTAATATGTATAATAAATTGTCAGCGATAATAAGGACTACTTTTCTAAAAAATATTTCACATTTGGCTTGTATTCCCTTTTTTTATACCAGCATTATTGACACTAATTGTAAGTTGTGCCAAATTTCAATTTGTTAGAAATATACGGTTAGTTTTTTTCAAATTTTCAATACGTACTAAAACTAAATAAACCTGTGATTAAATCACAACGCTGTTATTCAGAACAATAAGAAATTAGATTCCTCAGGATTTACTAGAAAATTTATCGTCACTTTTTTATTCCTCAATAAGTTATAAAATTATGTAGGTCATAAATTGTTTGCTTTGATGATTGGAACGGTATTTAAATAACATTTTTTAAAATTAATTAAAAGAGCTTTGTTAGAGTCGACGTCACGTCTTGCTAATTTCATTAAATGGCAATTAAAATAAGAAATAAAAAATGCTTTTATAATTACTTAGATAGGTACTGATTTCACACAGCCGACAAAAATAAATATTTATAATTATACGAATTAACGTCGGTTGTTTTTAATTAGCGATGCATTAAAAAACAAAAAAATTGAACTACCTGAATTTTCTATTACATTTAATTAGAAGGTTTTTTAGAAAATTTACGATCAATGTTCTGTTCATTTTAGATCATTCAAGTATATAGGAAATAATTAAAAAAACTAAATAACTAAATACTAAAAACTATAAAAAAATAAAAATAAAACTAAATAAATAAAGTATCTAAAAAGTTTACTTTATTTATTTGCCTAAGTTTAAGCTCGAAACGAATTTCAAAGCCTGGGGATTATGTAACATGCGCTGTATACACTCATCTTCAAACACC